TCGCGGAAGAGGGACGGGAAGGCCTGGCGGAAGCCGTAGGAGAGCAGCATCGGGCGCCGCTGATCGGCACCAGGGAGGAGACCCTCGCGACGGCACTCCGCGTCCAGGAACGGGATGTGGTCCACGAAACGGCGCCCAGCGGTGAAGCCCTTCTGCGCCCCGTCCGTCGCAACAGAGGCAATGGACTGCAGAGCACGATCCGCGCAGGAGGCAATGAGCTTGGCATCCGCGTTCTTGAGGGAGAGCGTGCGGACGGTGGAGGCCGTTCGAGTACACGAGTCGGGGGTGTCCTCGTCCTCAGCCCCCTTCGGTGCACAGAGGAAGATCGGCCAGTTGAGGTCACGCGGCCCAACGCCCTCGTTGCAGAGCTGCTCCATCAAAGCATGGAGATGCGATAGGCGATAGTGCGTCAGGGCTGCGTCGCCACGCTGCGTAGGGTAGCTGGTCAGGCCCAGGGGCGCTGGGCGGGGCCCTCGCAGCAGCGCGCTCCAGCGCGCGCAGCGACGGCTGAGGTAGCTCCACCACAGGAAGCTGCGGGGCATGACGATCAAGGAACTGGTTGAGCCGCAACTTCTGCTCCGCGGTCGGCGTGCGCTTGAAAATCTTGCCCCAGTACTCAGCCACAACGCCCGTCATGCCTGCAGAGTCGCTGACCACCTCGGGGGGCGCGTCCGCGGCGTTGTCGGAGGCGCAGGGAGCAGAGCCAAGCCGTAGACCAACGACAACCATTCTGCGCCGCCAGGGGATCCATAGCTGTGCGTGTCGGGCCGACCTGCGCTCCACCCGGCGCCAGGCGGGGCCGTCGCGGTCGTTGGACCTCCGCGCAGCAGCCTCAGCCGCCTGCCTGCGCAGGGCGTGCACCTTCGCCGCGACCGCGTCGAAGGTCTCGCCGAAGGCTCTGGAGTCCACCGCGCGAACCGAGCCTTGGTCAATCATCAGGTGGGCGGAGAGGGCGGGACACGAGGCCAGTAGGCGGGCCGCGAGCGGCGCGTCCTGGCGCCAGAGGGCCCGCGCCGCAGACTTGAAGCCCATGCACGTGGTTTCGGCATTGCCGTCCTTGACCTCGAGGGAGAAGTTGGCGCGAAGCTGCTCGTCTCGGATCCGGCGGGCTGCTGGTTTCACGCAAGTCTTGGTGGCGCGCCAGCGGTCCTCGACCGTCGCCGCCTCCAAATCGCAGCTCGCCATCATGAGCGAGAACATCTCGGGGCACTCCGGGCGAAAGAAGAGGTGCGACGGGATCGCCTGCTCCTCGCGCGGGACGCGACGGGCCATCTCAATCTGCAGGACGAAAGGCGCATGGTCACTCAGGCCGAGCTCCGACAGCTCCATCGCGTCGCAGGCGGTCGTGGGGCGCGAGGACATGGGGGGCATCGCGCGCGCGTCGATCCCCAGGAAGATGCGATCAATCAACGAGAGCTGATGGCTGGCCCTGTCGAAGCGGGCGGGCCACTGCGCCTCGATCTCCAGTGCCGCGCCAAAGAGACGACGCCAAGCAGGCTGCCGAAGTTGGCACCATTGATCAGGGCGCAGCCGCCAGGTCTCCTCTGCCGCAGGAGACCTTTGAGAGGCCGCAGGGCGGTCCGCGATGTTGAAATCACCCGCGCCGATGAAGACGCGCCCCAGGTGGTCGTCGGCGGCCCAGGCGAGGGCGCCCTTCCAGGCCACCCCCGCCGCAGCGAAGTCACCAGACGAGAGGTCAAAGCTGTGCGCGCTCATGAGCTTGATGCTGTACTCCGTCGATGGGGTCGACGACGCTGAGGAGGGCGACCCTGCCAGGAACCGCGACGTCGAAGCAGAAGGTGGGGCCCGCGCCAGGCGAAGCTGCCACGGACGCCTGCGGGGCCAAGAAGACGACGCCACCGACTCCAAGTGAGGGGCCCGCCGCCAGAAAAGAGAGGTAGCGCTGCGATTGCAGATGGCAAAAAATCCTCAGCGCGTCCTCCGAGCCATGAACTTCTTGGACGAGAATAACGGCGCCCGCCCGCGTGCGTGAGCTCAAGAGCGCGAGCTTGCGACGCCGAAGCCGCGGGTTCGAGCGGAGCAGGCCCCTGGCGTTCCACGCCGCCAAATGCAGCCTGCGGCAGCAACCATATGAAGACGGCGAGCGCCACGGTGCCCAGCGCGAAGCGCTAAAGCCACTCTGTGCGATCCTCAAGCGAGAAGGCCTTCCTGAACTGCTCGGCGATCGCGTCCCTGTCGATGGCCAGCCGCGAGACCATGTCCATGTTCCAGCAGATGGTGGTGTCGGCCTCCCTGCGGTCGCCCATCTCGAGCTTGGCCAACTTGACGCCCTGGGAGGTGATGATGCCACGTGCCCGCTGGGCGCTGAGAGCGTGACCAGGGACAGCCTCGCTGAGGATGTTGGCGGGGCGCCGCGTTTGAATTTCCATTCGCACTTGTTGAGCAGATTTGTCAGGATAAACGTAGAGCGGAACGGCTCCACCGCCGACCGCTTGGCACTGGAAGGAGCGCTATCCATTGGGAGCAGCAGGGTTACGCAGGTGACGGGCCAGCGCTTGAGCACGAGGGATAGCGATGTCCAGCCCGCCCTCCACGACAATGCTGAAGCGCTTGCTGGGGACGTTGGAATCGAGGCGGGCCATGCTGTTGTCGAGGCCAGCGGCTGAGAGCCAGTCGGAGATGCCAGCACGCACTTGCGCAGAGCCGACAAGTTCAGGAGCGCCCACGGAGAAGAACCTCGCGTCGGGGAGCCTGGACCACGCCTCGAGCGCCTGGAAGCCAATGATCGGTATCTCCTTCTCTGCCATGGCGAGCGTCTTCTCGATGTCGTCGATCTGGGCGCGCATCCGCCGCTGCTCTTCAGCCAGGGCATCCGCTCGCTCACCGACTTTGGCAACATCTCGCGCGTGGACCGCGAGCGACTTGGCGACGTGCTCCTGCTGGGCCTGGAACATTCCCACCAGCTGCTGCTGACAGGAGGCGGGCTGGACACGCGACGTCTCCGCCAGCGCCACGGTGGCCTGCTGCATGCAGCTGTCCAGCAAGGCCTGGAGGTCACCCGAGATCCCCGTCGGGGTGGGGCAACCTCCCACAAGTGTGCCAGGTAGCGATGTGCGAGTAGGCCATGATCCACCTCCAGGTACTTGCCAAGGATCAGGTTCATCGGCAAGTCGGGGCGAAGCAGCGTGAGGTCGATCAGGGGTTGCGAAGCGGCAGCAGCCTGGGCCTCATGCAGCACGCCGCACACGGAGCCGTTGTCGTGCTGACGGGCCAGCGCATGGTGCCCGGGTGGCGGGAGACGGGGGTCTCGCTTGCCGTCACGTCGGGAGCCGGGGACCGCCAGTACGTCGTCCTTCTTGGCAGCTCTGCGACGCGGGCGTGCACTCCGTTCTTCCGTGCTTCTCGAGAGAGACCGTCCAGAAGCAGGGGAGGCTGGCTCACGGCGTTGTCGTCCACCAGGGGCAGCAGCACCTGGTCCGCGATGACCGCCACCAGCGTGCCCAGAGCCACGACCAGGGCCGTCCTCCGCTGCCATGCCAGCACACTTTTGCCATGAAGGCAGGAGTCGGCCGCTAGGTGGGAGCGACCATGAACGGGGAATATGGAGGGGTGCCAGCTCACCCGTGGTTGTCGCTGGAAAGCTTGGACTGGCCGCGGACTAGCGGTATCCATGCCCTGCTCACGCAAAGCTGACATCTTGAGCCAAAATGGCTACGGAGGGAGGAGGAGGAGGAGGAGGAGGAGGAGGAGGAGGAGGAGGAGGAGGAGGAGGAGGAGGTGATGGAAGTTGGAGGAGCAGGAGGAGGAGGAGGAGGAGGAGGAGGAGGAGGAGGAGGAGGAGAAAGAGGAGGAGGAGAAAAATAGGAGGACAAGGAGGAGCGAGGAAGGTAAACCCATGATGCATCAAGGATGCTGTCACACACCTTCCCGTCCCAGGGCCTCGCGAGTCCCTACAAGTCCTCTTGTCCACTGCGGGAAGCGCCCCCTTGAATCACGAGCGCCAGTGGGCCTGCCACTCAGGCGAGACCTGGTTTTGCAAAGGATCCACGCTCAATATTTTCTATACTTTATTGCTAAAAGGGGCGCAAAGGTAGGGCCAATTGAAAGAAGCGTCCAGCAACAGCCCCGTGTCATCAAAAATCAGCCATCCATCCGTGCAAGTTGCACAATTCCAAATCGTCCTGGCCACGATGTGCGGAAATCTCAAGCGATAACCCAATAGTTAAAAAGGGGCCGCCCTACACCAGCGTTACTGTTACACAGACGAGAATCTCTGGTCATAGAGTTCAAAGAATTCCCAAACAATGATCGAATCATGTCAACGAGCCGGCAGTATTCTTGAAACTGTTAGGTGTGGGATGTTGTTTAAAGAATGTGCGCGGCGCGAAAACGAGATCCGCATTTTGGAAGCGACCAGCCCTCCATCCTTGAAACCGCTGGGGAAGTGAAATTCGAATGCGCGCGGGGCCCAAACGAGAGCCGCACTTTGAAAGCCATGGGCCCTTCATCCTTGTAAAATTTGAAGCTTTTTCAGCTTCCTGCCAGGCGGAAGGAAACAATGAAGGATAATACATTGAACAGAAGTTCCAAGCGAAACGCCCGGCCAAGCCCACGGACACGCCCAGTGGTGCGACACGCGCAGGCCGCCGCCGTGCCGCATCACATTGAGCGACCGGGGGACCCCAATGGGCCCGCACCAAAGGTCAGGCCGGCGAAGAGTCACACTCTCACACGCGTAGCCGATAACGTCCCAAACCTCCAAGCTCTTGGTTTCTTCAGTGCGGGGGCCCCAGAACTCTGGACCACTTCCAGGGGACCGTTTTTGTCGCTCCGGATCGCTTTTTGACGGTCCGAGAGCCCCCAGACGCCTAAAACGGCGAACAGAAACCCGTCTCCATATTTTCTACGATTTGAAGGTATGGGAAGTCGTCGAAGTCGACAGGGATTTCTGGCTCCGCCCACGCACGGAATCGAGCCGTTGCCCCCGACGGCGCCGCACGGGCGGCCCCCCGAGATAGCCTTGGCCTCCCGCCAGGGTC